GGAATTCGAGCTGCATCACAGGCCTAACAGTAGCCTCAGCCAACTTCACAGAGAGATCTGGAGTGACCCTTCAGAACTGTCCTAAGTTCGGCTGAGATGGTCAAGCCTTTATACCCCTTCTTTGCTAGTCACTGTGGGCTGTCCCAGAAAACCTTGCGGCCTTGATTGAGGCAACTCCCTGTACCTGAGACGATCCATGAAGGGCTCAGCAGCTCAGTCAAAAAGTTCTTTACTGAAATGGGAGATGGGCTGGCACATCATAGTACCCACTACATGCACCAACTCTAAAAATTTGCAATTAAAAGTAAAGAATTAAGCATTTATCTTGTCTTTTCTATATAAATTACATTTCTGAGTAATCAAATAGCCATGGTTGATGAGATTAAGTTCTATACAGAAGTATCCAGTTAATAGATTACAAAAAATTATGACATTAGACTATCATAACTTTGCAACCCCAATAAATATATTTCAGACAATGACTATCAATTGATGAAAACAAAGTAAAACATTGATGGGGGGATTTTATGCAGGCACACTTTGTTTTATCGTGCTTCGCTTTAACCATAGATATTGCTTTTTTTTCTTTTTTTAAACAATTTGATGATTTGCAGCAACCCTGCATGAAGCAAGTCCATCACTGCCATTTTTTCCAACAGCATTTGTTCACTTCATATCTCTGTTTCATATTTTGGTAATTCTCAGAATATTTCAAACTTGAAGGCATGTTGAAAGTCAAGACAGGCCAAAAACTAGGCCTCTTGCACCAAATGGTTAGTTAACTTGTAAATACAAAGGAAACATTCTTGAAGGAAATTAAACGTGCTACTCCTGTGAACCCATGAATAATAAGAAAGTAAAACAGCTTTATTGCTAATATGGAGAAAGTGTTAGAAGATCAAACCAGCTACACTATTCCTTTAAGCTAAAGCCTAATCCGTAGCAAGGCCATAACTCTCTTCAATTCTATGAACCCTGAGAGAGGTGAGGAAGCTGCAGAACAAGTTTGAAGTCAGCAGATGTTGGTTCATGAAGTTTAAGAAAAGAAGCCTTGTCCATAACATAAAAGTGTAGGGTGAAGTAGCAAGTGCTGATATAGAAGCTTCAGAAAGTTATCTAGAAGATCTAGATAAGAGAATTAATGAGGGTGGCAGCACTGAACAGATTTTCAATGTACATAGACAAAACAGACTTAGATTAAAGGAAGATGTCATATAGGACTTACGTAATTAGAGGGAGGTCAATGCCTGGCTTCAAAGCTTCAGGAGATAGCCTGACTCTCTTGTTAGGGGCTAATGAAGTTGGTGACTTTAAGTTGAAGACAATGCTCATTTACCATTCCAAAAATCCTAGGGCCCTTAAAAATTATGCTAAATCTACTCTGTCTGTGTTCTATAAATGGAACAACAAAGCCTGTATGACAGCACGTTTGTTTACAACATGGTTTACTGAATATTTTAAGATCACTGTTGAGACCTACTATTCAGGAAAAAAAGATTCCTTTAGAAATTATAACTGTTCATTGACAATGCACCGCTTCACCCGAGCTCTGATGGAAATGTACAATGAGAATAGTATTTTCATGCCTAGTAACACAACATCCATTCTGTAGCCCATAGATCATGGAGTAGATTCTACTTCTAAGTTTTACTGTTTAAGAAATATGTTTTATAAGGCTATAGCTGCCATAGATGGTTATTCCTCTGATGAACCTGGGCAAAATAAAATGAAAACCTTCTGTAGAGGATTCTCATTTTAGATCCCATTAAGAACATTGGTGATTCATAGGAAAAGAGGTCAAAATATCAACATTAAACAGAGTTTGAAAGAGGTCTATTCCAACCCTCATGGATGACTTTGAGGGGTTCAAGACTTCAGTGGAGGAAGTAACTACAGATGTGGTAGAAATAGCTGGAGAATTAGAATTAGAAATGAAGCCTGAAGATTTGACTGAATTGGTGCAACCTCAGGATAAACTTTAACAGATGAGGACTTCTTCTGATGGATGAGCAAAGACAGTGGTTTCTTAAGATGAAATCTACTCCTGGTGAAGATGCTGTGAGATTGTTAAAATGACAACAAATGATTTAGAATATAACATAAATTTAGTTGACAAAGCAGTGGGAGGGTTTGAGAGGATCGACTCTAAATTTGAAAGAAGTTCTACTGTGGGTAGAATGCTATCAAAGAGCATCTAATGGTACAGAGAAATCATTCCTGAAAGGGAGAATCAATTGATGTGGCAAACTTCATTGTTGTTTTATTTTAAGAAATTTCCACAGTCACCCCAACTTTCAGCAACTATCTTGATCAGTCAGCAGTCATCAACATTGAGGCAAGACCCTTCACCAGAGAAAAGATTATGACTTAATTAAGGTGATGGCTAGCATATTTTAGCAGTAGAGTATTTTTCAATTAAGGCATGTACATGTGCTTTTGGACATAACGTTATTGCATACTTAATAGACTATAGTATAGTGTAAATATAACTTTTATATGCACTAGGAAACCAATAAATTCACATGACTCACTTTATGGCAATATTCATTTTATTGGGGTTGTCTGGAACCGAACCCACAATATCGCTTGAGGTAGTATCGCTGTGGTGGAATATTCAGGCTACCTCCACCTGAACTGACTGATCAATCTGAATATTACTAAATGTTGAAGAGTATGTACCTCCTAATGTGATACAGTGAGAAGTATGTAGCACCATCTATGAACATTCCTGCTTTAAAAATTGTACTGGAATCTAACAAAGCCTTTAGAGTCAACTTATGATTTATAGTTAAGTTACACTTATTCCTCTAACAAGAAGGACAACATAAAGACACAGACAAATGAGAATGTAGACATTCAACAGTACAATTGACTTGACTTCAACAACTCAATAGCATGGAAAAAAAGACTGTTTTAGATTAAAGTAGATTGTAAGCTCATAACCAGGTGCGATGTGTGCATCTTGCTTGGATCTAGATTTAAACAAACTAAATGTAAAAAAAATATTTTTGAGATAATTGAGGAAATCAGAATATGGACTGGATATTAGAGGCATCAAATAACTGTTATAAATTTTGTTTAGTGTGAAAGTGTCAATATAGTTAAACTGCATATTTTCAGAGAACACTGAAGTGTATAGGTTAAAATGACATGATATTTGAGATTTGTTCTAAAATATTTACAGAAAATAATATATAAAGCATGTATGGCAAAGTCTTTATATTTTTTAATATGATTAATAAATATTTGGGGATTTTTGCTATATAATTTTCTGTACTTTTGTGTATTTAAAAAATTAAAGATATAAAAAATAAAGATAAATGCAAAGGACCCAAGGGGGGGTGATATTCAAAGGATTTAAATAGGTACTTATAGAAGAGACAAATATACAATAAACATTTGAGAAGCTATTCAGCTTTACTGGTAGTTGGAGAAATGCAAATTAAAAAGGAGACACTACTTTTATTCAAAACATTGGCAAAAATAAAAAAGATTGGTTAGATCAGATTAGGACCATTTAGTTCTGACCATTTCTGGGAAGGCAAATCACTTCCCAGTATTTATTTAGTATAGCATTAAGTATTCATTAGGAGTAAACATGATATTAGATACAGCAATATTCTGTAGAAATAACAGTACCAGGTTAATAATCTGTACATGAGCACATCTGAAGCAGCACTTTTTGTATTATCAAAAAAAAGTTGAAAACAACCTGAATTATCATAGGAATGGTCAACTTATGGTTCATCCATACTAGGAAATGTTATATTGTTTTAAAAATTAAAAATCTTTTTTCTATAATTAAACAGTGTATGTTTAATAGTATAAAATTTATAAAGTACATATAAGAAAATGAAAGGAAAAAATTCATAATTCTAGATCTGAAGAGATCATCTTGGAATATATCAGTTCAAGTGTTTCTCAGGGTGTGTGAGTGAGTGTGTGTGTTTGTACCCATGCATATGTATGTATACTTGTTTTTTTCAATACTTGTTTTTAAAATAAAAAAGGTATCATGTTACACAGTATGTTGTAACCTCTTGTTTCCTTCATTCCCTCATGACTATTTTCCACATCAATATTTATTGTGTAACTTAACCAATCCCTACGTTGGGGTATTTAAATGCATTTAATTTCTCCTTTTATAAATAACCTACCCCCAGGCCTGAAAAGCTTTGAAGATGATTTGCCAGTTGCCTTCTAGAAATTTCTGGGTGCTTCCAGAGACACTTGAGGCAGAGTAGTCGGAATGCTTTCCCATCGCGCGAGCCTGCTATCTACACGGATAGCACAACTGTGGTCTTTAGAACTTTGTAAGACTTGTCTTATCCTGCCCATTAGTCATGCAGCCTAACTGGGACTCTATTCCAGAAATCCCTACACCCTCTCCCTCTCCTCGCCTCATTCCCGCCCCTCCCCGCGCAGCCACCCCCCTCCCTCTGCGCTTTCCCGCTCCGTGGTCTGGCCTATGGCAAACGCCAAGAATTAATTAGGGGCGGGGATCAAGGAGAGGCTGTCAGGAGGTCGCCATATTTCTGTACGGCTGCCCCGAGGACGCCCGGCAGTCGGTGGGTCAGGAGAGGTGCTAACAGGGCGGGGCCGCCGCTCAGCTCTGCCGGCCTCACCCCTCCCTCCCAGGACAGGTGGCTGGAGCGCGCCCCGCCCCCGCCAGCTGCGGGTGGGAGCGAGGGAGGGCCGGCCCGGGACAGCCGCCGCCAGCTGCGACTGCGAGTGAGTGAGCTCCAGCCCGGGACGGCCGGGCGAGTAGTCTGGAGGCAGCAACCGAGTATCGTGGCGGCCAAAAAAATGCTCCTGTACCGAGGGGCCCCCGCGGGCCCTGGCGCTCCTGGCAGCGGGCTAGCCCGGCCGGGTGGCAGCCCGCAGGCATTTGGGATCCGCCTGAGTACGGTAGGTCTGGGACCTGAGGGGGCGGACGCACGCGCGGGCCCCGGGGTTGCCGTGGGGCGGCGTGCGGGGAGGGCCTGGCGGGCCGAGGCCTCATGCGGGACGGGACCTTCTCTCGCCCCCAGATGAGCCCTCGCTACCTACAGAGCAACTCCAGCAGCCACACGCGACCCTTCAGTGCCATCGCGGAGCTGCTAGGTGAGTGGCGAGGGCGGGCCTGGCCACGATCGCCCAAGGCAGTGGTGCCAACGTGGTGCCGCGGACGCGAGAGGAATGTGCGGAACCACGCGGGGTGGGCCAGGGCTGGGGTGGGGGCGTTGGGACTGGTCCTCGCTCCGCAGGCGCAGGAAGGGGACGTCTTTCTAGCAGGGACCAAGTTTCACGAATAAAGCTGAGGAAACAAGGTGATCCGGAAGAGTTAGTACCCCTCTGTGTTTTATCTCTCTGGCTTGTGATGTCCCAGGGACTTTAGGGTAGTTTAGTTAATAATCGAAAGGAGATGGGGCTCCAAGGCAGCTGGGCTCCACAGGGACTGGCTACAGATGAAAGGCGCCCAGCTAGCATAGGGGCATTGTAGAGCACCCAGTAGGGGCATGAAGAAAGGTCTGGAAAACGGAGTTTTGTTTTGTTTTTAACTTTGGAGACCAGAGAATCTGGGAATGATGGGACATTTCTTAAGAGATGACACGAGTGCATTTGGCTCTCTGTGACTTCGGAAGGCTAGGTCCCTGGTCCACGAGCGCCCTCACACCGCTGGAATGAATACTGAGCACTTAGCGTCTTGTTCCACCAATGTTTGCTTTTAAAGCGTTTGCTTGTGCTTGAAGCCAAGTACACCAGCTTTTGCAGTAGTGTGCTAAATATTGTGTGAAAAGCAAAGAAGAAAACCATTCCTGGAAAAAATGCAGCAGCATACAGAGCACATTATAAATGTATCAAAAACTTAAAGGAGGGAGAGATATTTATGGGACAAGGTAGCATAGAACAAAACCTTGAAAATGGTTTCAGAGTTCCCCAAATGAGCCTCAGTTCCTACTTAAGTAATTGCTGTGGCCTTTCACTGTGAGTTGTCTTGGACAAGACGTAGGTGGGCAGCAGGAGAGTTATTTGGAAGGGTGACTGGGAACTTTGATCATTAGTTTGACCATAAAACAGAATGCTTACAATATGTATGACTATCCATAAGAAGGTGCAGGAAAAAAGGTGACATTGACATATTTTGAGTCCTAGAGAACAGGGGCTATATATTTAAAGTTTTGCACCATGACTTCAGTGAAACTCTGCACAATGGAATAAGATCTATGTGCATGTAACTTTAAAAAAAAGGAGAGGGGAAAGTAGCAATTTACTTAGTGGAGAATGGGAGACAAATGTGTGTTTTGCTTGGCTAAGCTCACAGTGACACTGTACAAAACCATATGTATCTACTGTGTACTGAACTTTATGGGTGATTTGTAATTCTATGTACATATGATTTTTGTCTTAAGCATTAACTTAACCTAAACCTGTCCTAAGGTGTCCATGTGAGTACACATTTTTATTGAGTATTTTATATATATATGTATGTATATATATGTATACACACACACACACACATATACATGTCTGCACACAAACACACATATTTTAAATCCAAATCACAATTTGTGGTCATATTAATAATAGAGAAAAGGGAGAGCACAATGTTAACTGGTAATCCAAAACTTTCATTGTAGGTTTTCCTTCAACAGTTTTCTCCTTCACTTGTGCATTAATTTTCTAGTGAATCATTCATTCGATAAATATTTATTGAGTAGTCACTGTGGAGAAGGCCACCATGGTAGGTACAAAAATTCACTCTTCTAGTAAGGGAGATAAAATATGTACAGAAGGTGTATGTTTTTTATAACAACAAAATAAAAAGTGATTTATTGATAAAGATATACACAGCAAGTGCTGTGGGAGTTCAGAGGAGAGAGGGATGACTTCCAGCTTACCAGGAAGAGGAGGGTTAGGAAAAGCTTTGTAGACATGACATTTGAGCTGATATTTGAAGGATTGGGACATGTGGATATGGGTGTGGGGAGGGGAGGGCATTCTAGGCAAAAGTAACAACTGCATGAACAAAGGCATGAAAAATACTGAGTAGTTGAGTTTAATTAGAGCATGAAGTTCACAAATAGTCAAGATTCTAGGTCCTTAGAGAGTTTATAAAGAACTTTCACAAGTGCATTTTTAACTTAAATAGTATTATTATTATTATTATTATTATTATTATTATTCTCATCCCACAGATGAGGCTACAGACACTCAGAACATTTAATTGACTTTTCCAAGGTTACCTTTCTGGTAGGTGGCAGATCCAAGACTCAAGCAGGCCTTTTTTACTCCAAGCACCAAGTAGAGAATGAAGTTAAAGGCCCATTGAGACCAGGATGTGACTGGAAAGCTTGGATATTTGGCCTTTTAATCTGAAGTTTTCTGAGCAGAGGAATGTTATGATCAGAGCTGTGCTTCAGGAAAGTTAATCTTACAGTAGTGTATAAGATATATTGGAGAAGAGAGAGACATGGTTTTGAAAGACTGGTGAGGAGGTTATTTCAGTAATCCAGATGAGAGGGAATAAACTCTATGAGGAAGTGACAGTGGGAATAGAAATAACCAGATGTGTGAGAGTCTAGGGATGTGTATCGGGTAAAAGGGAGGGAGGGATAAAAAATGAATTTTGAATATCAAACTTGTGATCATTGGAATGCTGAGACCATGTGTGTGTGTGTAACAAAGGAAGAAGAATAGCTTGTGTCAGAAGATAATGACCTTGATTTTAGATGAGAATACTTTTAGATACTTGCAGGATGTCTGTAGGGCAGCAGCTTGACCCTGGTGAACTTGCAGGAATCTACATAGGCCATCCTTCTGGGATGGGAGAGTTGTGAAGCACTACCTCAAAGCTATCTTCCCAGGGGGGATAAATGGTGATGAAAGGAGACTTGACTTGGATGGTGAACACACAATACAATATACAGATTATGTATTATAGAATTCTAAACCTGAAACCTATAATTTTATTAACCAATGTCACCCAATAAATTCAATTTTTCAAAAAGCCATCTCCCCACTTGCCAGCCTATCTCTCCAGGGAGGCTGTCATGAGACAACTTCTAATTGCCTTCCAGGTTCTGATGAGGAATGAGGCTTTAGTCACATTGCTTTTTTTTTTTTTTTTAAAGATCAGGGACCAGATGGACCAGGTTAGGGAATGATATAACATTGCCTTCAGTCTGGTTTTTCATGCTCTTGCCTAAATGGTGGGTGAGAAGAATTAGAGATAGGGTCCTCCCACTAAAGGTAGCATGGGCCAGGTTAGAAAAGAAAAGATTCCTTGGAATCTGGTAGCACAGATTGTGTGGGCCAGGTTAGGAGATAAAGACTCCTCAGGATCTACTAGTGCAGCTCTTGCCTAAGTAGTGGGTGAGGGGAGAGGAGTAGGTATTTTCTCATTGTCCTACCTGTTCATAAGGCTGAGTGGGTTGGACCATGGGAGAAAATAGATTCCCTGGGATCTGGCAACATAAATTTTTGGAAGGTTAAGCAGCAAGAGGTAGGATTGAAATCAGCCGCCAGATTGATGCTTTATTATTATAAGTTCATTTGTTGAGGTTGATCTTGTTATTATTATAATTTCATTTGTTAAGGCTAAGTGAAAGGCCAGTTAAAACCAAAAGGAAGTGCGAAACTGAATTTACTGCTGTGACTGCCTCAATGATCTCTTCTCTGCAGCTCCAGCTGACCCTGGCCTCTTGCATGCCCCCTCCTCCCTGTACTCCACCAGCTTCCAGCCAAGGAATAAAATATCTACCTGCTTCTGTCAGCTACCTTGTAACTCCTGAAGTGCCTGTATTAAAAACTATTTGGTGTGTTTCTGTAAAGAAACACCTTGTAAAGTTTGGGCAAAATTTGCACTAAAGAAGAAAAAAGTAAAACTGATTTTATTCGAGGCCTACGAACTGATTCATTGAATGTACTGCTGTATGAATACGGAATTGGAATTGATATGTGTTACAGTTTTGAACTGTGAATGTTTGTTTATAAAGTGTTAGAAAAAATTTCTCTACGGGCAAAGTTTTCAAAGTAGACATAATGTCCTGGTGATGGACACGTTAAAGCTATCATTCTCAATGGCCCTGGCTTTTTTCTACCATCAGGAGTGACTGATAGTTCCTAAAACAATTCAAGGTCTGCTTGCCAAGTAGTTTCTTGAAACAATGTGGGCAGCTTCAAAAAGCTGGATCCTTCTGTCAGTTAAAGAAAAAAAATTAGCTGCCTTTTTTACAAAGTAAAACTTGTATTTCTAACAAAGATACTCTTGCATGTCAAACTTATAATTTCTGCCAAAAGTTGGCCCACTTGTTCTGCCTACATGAACCAGTGTTTTGGGTCCACCTAGTCCTTAAAGATGGACTCTGTCAGACCTCTTAAGTCCTTTCCAGGACTATTGGTGATGCCTTATGCCATTATGACTTTTTTTTGGGTTACAGTCAGTGACAGTTATATCACTGATTCTAGCAACATCATTGCGGCCCTTGAAATTAATCTGTGGTTTGCTTTATATAATGGACATTCCACACATCCAAGTGGTTCTACCTGATACTGTTAATTATATTGTAAAAATTGATATTTCATTATGTACAAAATTTCTCTTGCTTGTAAGGGATGTTTCCAGTGGAGAAATGCCACAGTTTGAACAGTGGTAATGGGACCAATATACAGCTAGCCACCCCCTCATTGCCCCCCACTGGATTTTTCAGCCCAGCCACATGGTATCAGTAAAGCAGTATAGGATTCCAGGGAAAGGGGAAAAGGTGAAAGGGAAAGTCTCAGTCTTGATTAAAGAGCTGGTAAAGACAGGAGTGTTTAAGAAACATATGCAACACATTGCACAAACTGCTCTCTCACTCGGGTAATTGAGTCCTAATGAGGCAATTGCACCACATGTGTCAGTGACTGACAAATATATAAACTGGCGCCTGTGGCAAAAAGATGTGGCCACTAGAAAAGGCACCCCCTGGCATTGTGGACATGGTGCATATGTTAGAATATAACGATATTTGATGTCATAGGAGTCTTAAATAATTAAGACTATCATGAAGACCTAACTCAGGAGGAATTGTGAAACTTTCTATGTTTTTTTCGACTTTAATTCTATGTTCTCCATTTAATGAGGGTTGAGCAGCCTCACCTTTAAGACTATTACAGAGTACCTAAGCAGAATCACTCTTTCTCCCTATGCAAGCTTGTTACCATCACTGGGGTCTAGGCAGGCAATTAAACGTTTTGATTTTAACCACTCTTTCAATACCTGTTAGGCTATAAACAGGGATGGTGATAATATCTGTGTTTTTTAACAGAGGAGGTGTTGTAAAAAGTAGAAAACAAGCCTGGCTGGTGTGGCTCAGTGGTTGAGTGTTGACCCATGCACCAAGAGGTCCCTGGTTCAATTTCCGGTCAGGGCACATGCTCAGGTTGTGGGCCCAATCCCCAGTAGGAGGCATGCAGGAGGTGGCCAATCGATGTTCTCTCTCATCGATGTTTCTATCTCTCTCTCCCTCTCCCTTCCTCTCTCTCTAAAATCAATGAAGAAAAAACACTTTAAAAAAGAAAGTTTAAGAAAAAGTAGAAAACAAAATTTTCACAAGTAAGCTGTAATATGTATAATATGCATCTCTTTGATCCAAAATTGTGATTTAACTCTTCTCCACAGCCACCCTTTACTGTGTATGTTCATGAGCAGTAAAGTGGCTAAAAGGAAAGAAGTAATAAAACAAAAACAGAGCAAAATGCTTTGTATATAGGAAGAGTTATTATTCCCACAGACCCTGAAGATTGAAGGGAGAAAAGCAGATCACAGTTCAGACATTATATGAAATAAAAAAATCAGCTTATAACCCCATCTGCCATCATATCTATCGTTTCCTATAACCTAGTATGTGTACTACCATTAATGCTTACTACTCACCTTCTGGGACATCCATGTGAAGGGAATAAATGACATTTGTATGTCTAATGGGCACTGAACTAGAGATTTTAATAGAATATTAGAAAAAGAGATCTAATATCACAGATTTCTACCTTTTGCAGATAATGCTGTAGATCCAGATGTATCTGCCAGGACGGTTTTTATAGATGTTGAAGAGGTCAAGAATAAATCTTGTTTGACCTTTACTGATGATGGATGTGGAATGACGCCTCATAAATTACACCGAATGCTCAGGTAAAAATGTCTTCATTCTTTGTCTCTTGTCTTGAGTTCATGAACTATAGTTAAGGCTTAGTGATTTTCTTTAATATTTTACTTTCCCTTTCTTCATTCAACAAATATTTATTGAGCATCTATTATGTGCCATGGCACTGGTTATAAAATAAATACTGTTTTTGCCCTCACAGAACATACAGTCTAGCTAGCTCTTTAGACAATTAAGCAGTAATCATAATAAAATGATAAGTGTAACAATAGGAAAGTATAGGATGCCATGGAACAAACAAGTCAGCAGGGAAACCCAATCTGATCCAGGAGGTCAGGAAAAGCATTGTAGGTGAAGTGATAGTTAAGCAGAGATCTAAGGGTGAGTAGGATAATTTAACGAGATAAAGGAACAGGGGCAAGGGATGAGAGTTCAGACAAAGAGAACAGCAAGTGTAAAGACATGGAGGCCATCATTGGACTGAGACCTTCTCCAATTTATATTAACCTAAATTACTCTTAGATCAGAAGTAATGGAATTGGGATGGTGTTTGGATTAAAACTATTAATGTATCTGGGCATAATCCAGCCTCATGAAAGATTAATAGAAGGCATTTATACACATAATCTTTTAAGGTTTTGTAGTAGAATTTCTAAGTCAGGAAATTCTCTTTTCTAGCTGCTGAAGCTGGTGATACAGATTTCTATTACCTCTCTCAGCTCAGCTAATTACTTGAAAAGGTTTGTAGTTGAGAATGTAATTTTGTCCTTTATTATACTTCACATATCACTCAGTGAAAGGTGAGTATTTTCTTACCTCCTTCCTTCTCTCTTCCTTTTTTAGTAGATGAGGTTGATTACTCTCCATGTGGCTTCCTGAACTAGTGCATGAAGCATGAGTAACAGTGGACAGGTTCTATGGAGGGGAAAGGGCTTCACACTAGAGAACTTGAAAACATTTATTTAATTGTAGTTCTCTTTGAAGGTGTTCTAATTCTGTAGCCCTGTTTGTAGGGAAATCCCTTTAATCCATCAAAGAAAATACATTAAATTTGAGCATAACTAATTATAAACTTGGTTATGTTTTACCACTCAGCGTTCTGGGTACCTGTGTCTCAGATCCTCATAATTAGAAGAATATTTGAGGAAATCTTATCTTCTAGTGTGATAAGAAAGTGGCCATTGGTTAAGTTATGGAGATGGCCTTATATTTTAACTTATAACATCACTTTTATCTCCTAAATGGAATATTTTATATTAAGATAAATACAATTTTAGATGGGATGGAACCAAAATATTTATATGTCTAACTCTGTATGTATTAGTTTTTGTTTTTTCTTTTCTAAATCACTTATCTTCTTACTGACTCCTTCCCACCACATCTTATTCCAGTGACATAGGTGTCACATAGTAGGCCCAGCAGATCTTATTGCTTTCCATTTCATCTGTGGGACTACACCTGTGAAAGTTGGTGCTTATAGTTACAAGGCAGGAGGAAGAAGGAGGATGTTTTTTTAATTTTTTAATCTGTTTTATTGATTTTTAAAAGAGAGAGAGATAGAAACATCGATGTGAGAGAGAAACATCTGTCAGCTGCCTCCTGCACTTCCTCCACTGGGGATCAAGACCGTATGTGCCCTGACTGGGAATCGAACCAGGACCTCTCAGTCCATGGGACGGCACTCAATCCATTGAACCACACTGCCCGGGCAGAAGGAGGATGGTTTTAAAACAATTGCAACAATATTTGTTCCAGATTTATTCAACAAAATTTTTAAGAATAGTTTATTGTTTGTTGACTTTTTTAGAGAGAGGGAAAGGGAGAGAGAAAAAAAAAAAAACATCAAGGAGAGAGTGCAACATCCATTGACCACCTCCTGCACACCCCCCACCAGGAATTGAGCCTACAACCTGGGCATGTGCCCTGACCGGGAATCGAACTGGCGACCTTTGGTGCCCAGGACAAGACACAACCAACTTAGCTACACTAGTCAGAGCCATTCAACAAAATTTTACTGAACACTTATGTGAAAGTCACTGGAGATAAAGTGGTGAGCCAGGTAGACATGATTCTTGCTCTCAAGGGGCTGACAGTTTAATCAGAAGTATAGAAAATAATTAACTAATAGCAATACTACTAAATAGGCTATCCCACCTAATGATGAGTGCTATGAAGGAAGAGTACTGCCCTGGCCAGTTTTTCTCAGCGGTTAGAACGTTGGCCCGCGGACCAGAGAGTTCTGTGTTCAGTTCCTGCTAAGGGCACATACCTCAGTTGCAGTTTGTCCCTGGCCCTGGTTGGGGTCATGCGGGTGGCAACCAGTCGATGTGTCTCTCTCACATCAATGTTTCTCTCTTCCTCCCTCTCTTCCTCCCACTCTATCTGAAAATAAAAATGTCTTCGGGTGAGGATTAAAAAAAAAAAAAGAAGGAAGAGTACAGCTTCTATGAGAGTACGTAACAGAGGGATCTGCTCTAATCTATGGAATCCAAAAAGGCTACCCTGAATAAATGACACTTGAGTTGAAATATGAAAGATGTGTATCATTCATTTAAAATTTCATTTATTTTCCAAGGAAAAAAGCAGACCTAAACAGTCAGACCTTTTTCACCATAGCATTTTTTGGCATTATCATGCTAAGTATGTTTCCCGATTTGAGCTGGGAAATTGTCCCTCATATTTAAAAATTAATTGTTAATGAGTCCTGGATTATGTATGGTATATGTGCTGGATTTTATTTCTGATCACATCTTAAAACAGGCTTGAATCTGTTAGAAGGTCTCATTTATTTAGAAGAGATCATTTAATACAACTTTAACTTCTAGCCAAGGATTCCACTTACCACAATTTCTTTTTTAAATAATTGAACTTTAAAGGTAGCTTTGAAAATTGTTAAGTGTATTAATTTTTTCTTATATTGGTTTGGGGGCATATTACTTTTTTATATTTGGAAAAATAATAGAGGTAAATATGCAAAATTATTAAGGCTACAGAAATTCTATTTGATCTATAACATTTCTTATAATCCTATCCTTTCCAGCTCTTTATGCTAATCTTTCTGTTTTCAGGCTAATAAAATAGTTATGTAATTGTAGCCACAGTTTCTTCCATAAATATAGAATCCCATGTAAATCAAATTACAAAGAAAAAGCCTATCATTAAATTTCTATAATGTCCACAATTAATTCTCTTTAGCTTCTGCAGTTAGTTTGTGAACCAGCTAGTCTATATATTCAGCTGCCTTTTGAACAAGGTAGAAAACCTCTTCTTTCAGAGGTCAAGGATTAAAAGTAGCCACAGATCCATGGATTGAAGGTACTTGCTACCTTTGCTCAGAAGTGCATTTTCTAGTAGGTCATGTCTAAAACAACAGCAGGCCCCGCCCATGTGAACATCGACCCATGCGAACATCAACCCATGCACCAAGAGGTCGCTGGTTCAATTCCTGTTCAGGGCACATGCCCAGGTTTTGGGCCCAATCCCCAGTGTGGAGCATGCAGGAGGCAGCCAATCGTTCTCTCTCATCGACGTTTCTCTCTCTCCCTTTCTCTTCCCCTCTCTCTAAAAATCAATAAAAAAGAAAAAAGAACCAACAGCAGTGCACTTAGCAGTCTTTTATTCTTTTATATTGCATATTACATCACCAATATATCTAGGAAACAGCAGTGTTCACCCTTGTATGTCCATGGATTTGCTAAGGTTAGTTTCATTGGTCAGAGTCCCAATTTAAATCCACCTCTCTAGCCCTGACCTATTGGCTCAGTGGTTAGAGCACTGGCTGGCAGACCAGTTAGTCCCAGGGTCAGTTCTGGTCATGAGCATATACCTCAGTTGTGGTTCGTCCCTGGCCCTGGTTGGGGTTGTGCGGGAGGCATCCAGTCGATGTGACCCTCTCACATCGATGTCTATTTCTCTCTCTCTCTCTCTCTCTCTTTCTCTCTCTCTCTCTCTCTCTCTCTCTCTCTCTCTCTCTCTCTCCCCCTTCCCCCCCCAATCTATCAGAAGATAAATAGAAAAAATATCCTTGGGTGATGATTTAAAAAAATAATAAATCCACCTCTCTAGATTCTAGAATCTTGACATTTTAATAAAGTCAAGAGCAAGGTGTCTTCCTGGATTCCACTCAAAGAGCTGATATCCTAGCCCTCTTGGTATGTAAACACTGTCTCTTACATGAGAAGATGGAATGGGACTTAGAGAAGAGAGACTACCTATCTAAGTCAAGCTATCTCTGTGGAAAATGAGTGAGCCATACTGAACTATATAACATTCATTCCTACAATTTTGTTGTTTATTGTGATGGCTTTTATATTAGGTAATTATTTGATTGGTATCTGACATCCATTCTGCAATTTTCATTTAAATAGAATACCTAACATGGAACTGTTAAGTGAAATAAAAACACATGGGAAGAATTAAGTGGACCATAACAATAATATCCAGAGCTTCTAGATTCTCTCTTCTCATTATTCTTATCATTTTCCATTTCTCATTCTGGCCCTGCCTTACTGCTTACTTTCTCAACCTTGTACAGTCATTTGGTCTTCTCAAACTAAATAACACAGTCAGGGTTTATATTCACAAAGGGAAAAAGAGATAACAGATGTCAGGAAAGGCAGGAATGGCTAGAAAATTAAGAGTTATATAGTCTATTTTCACTACTTTCTCTTGACTACCTAATTGAAACTTTTGTAGCATTAGAGAGGGTTTAAGTTCAGACAAAACACATAGATTTATTTCACATTCTAGGTTACTATTTATGAAGAGCCCTGAGTTTTTTGTATGATATTAGATCTGAAGTAAAACTAGAGGGTTACACATGGCAATTCTCAGAATGACTTCTAGAGTTAGTTTAAAATTCAAGTTTGAATACTACTTTATAAAATATTGTGCATACAATATGTAATTTAATCCTCACAATGACCACATTGTTTTTCTAGCCAGTTTTTTCATAAGAGGAATAGGAATGCCTTAATCTTATCAACTTGTATAAGTTTATTTCCTGCAATACTAAGGCCCATAGACAACAGAAACACAACACTCTTTTGGGATTTTCAAAGGAACTACAGCCCTAGAAATTACTTTTCTCTGTGGTTATATTTATTTGTAGGGTGCACAAAGCTCTTGTAAATTGTCTACTCGAGAAGGACTTAATGGTATTATTGTATAACACTTTGAAATAGAAAATTGAAAGTTGGTACTTCTTTTTAGGGAATAAACACAAACCACAGTTTTCAGGAAGTGGAAACAGGCAACTCAACCCTGCTTAAAAGTATAAGAGCCAAGGCCATGCTCCTCAGACATGGCATACAGAGTGTCTATTTTATTGATGTTGGAGAAGCATCTAATCCATAATATATGAAATATTTTCTTAGACTGTAAACCATAAAGGCAAGAATCGTGTCTCTTTTATTAACAGTTTTGTTTCCAGTACTTAGCACAATTCATGGCACTTAATAGGTACTTAGTAAATATTTATTGAAAGAATGGTGGTGTACAACATTTTAAACTTAGTCAATCTCGAGAGAAAAAATTCTTAAAGTTAATTTTATATGTGGTGAGGGAAGATATATGAGGAAGATAATCATCATTTTCTAGATTTCATATCTTTAATTATTTTTATTTTATTATTTCATTCCATGTTTGAATGGAGAATATATGAAAGGGAAATGATCTGGCTCCAAGGTTAAGCTGATTGATCATAAGAGGCTACAGAGATTGTTGAGGTGACTCAGTAAAATGTCCTTAATAGAACAAGAGAGACTTTATACTGCAGCTGTTTGGTGATATTCAGAGGCAGAACTACCTATTTTTATCCCTTGGCCACATTCCAATGAACTGTCCTAGCAGATGGAGCAGAGGATAAGAATTGGAAGGGTTATCTTTTGGGTGGAGAGTAAATAGTTAAGATATATAACCTTTGACTTTCAGATTTCTAGAGGGTGATGTAACCAGTTACAGGAATGCCTAGGCTGATACCTCTGACCAGTGGCACTATCTGGTACTTTTGTTACCCTCTATACAATGTACTCGGAGATGACCACCCTTTCTACCCAACCCAAACCTTACTATTAGTGATCAGAGCCATTTTATCTAGACAAAAAGGCAGCTACCCATGGCCTTCTCCAGCTATCTTTGTTAATAAAAAGAGGCCACCTTTACATTTATAAAGTGTGACACTAATGTACACACAAACCACACAGGAAAATCAGTCCCATTCCCCCATAACAATTTCCTATGTTTTTAACTTAATAGTTTTTTCCCAGAAATATCAAAAGAAAAAAGGAGTAACTCTTTACAAGTGTTATTCATTTGTAAGCTAAACATTCTGCCTGTCACCTATCTTAGAATGCTTTTTATCTTTATGGTTTATTTTTTTCTGATTTCTTTTTTTTGTGTGTGTAATTACAGCTTTGGCTTTACAGATAAAGTAATAAAGAAGAGCCAGTGTCCCATCGGGGTCTTTGGTAATGGTTTCAAGTCAGGCTCCATGCGGCTAGGAAAGGACGCTCTTGTCTTCACCAAGAATGGGGGTACTCTCACTGTTGGACTCCTATCACAGACCTACCTGGAATATGTCCAGGCCCAGGCAGTTATTGTACCAATTGTTCCATTCAACCAGCAAAACAATATCCTTTCTGGAAATGGAGACTGTTGGTTAAAAATTAGTCTAATCTGATATTTTGATAGAAACCTCTTTCTTCAGGTCAAATCCAGCTATCAATTCAACTGTTTTAAATTTAACTTGACTCTATCTACCCTTATTAAACATTTTTTTAAATAAGTGACCATTGACAGAAGTCTAGAAATGTTTTTGTTGTATGGAAAATTTCACTGTTATGTGATTTGATCTCTATCTCTCCCATACCACCTCTCCCTTAGTAAAGTCCTCCCTCTCTTTATTTTTCCCCTAAGGGTAGCTACATGTGTATCATACTCTTAGAAACATTCTATTCATCAGCTTATCTGATGGCAGAATCACTCATTTCCCCATTCTTGGCAAGTTATTATTTCTGTTAGATACCAGATCATCTTGACCCAAACAATACAGCAGTAAAGTTTGAACTCATTGCTTCTAAAGGGTTTAAAATTCAGCCTTTGATCTATTTGTAAATATAGGACTATCTTTATTTACATTATATTTTTGAAGCTATGTTCTGCAGGGGTAGCTGATTTTTGTGTTTGTCTCTACAACCTTTCTTCATTTTGCCTTTTCCTTTCTTCTGTAGCAGTAATGCCCATGTTTTATATTTCTATGTCTATATTTTGCCTAAACATCTAATTCAAAAGGCAGATCTTCCTAAGTGATAGCATCCTCTTAAAATATTAATTTTTCTTTGACTGTATTTGGTTTTACAAAAAATGATTATTACTGAGGATTCCTTGCCCAGCCTAGAAGCCATCTTGAACTATTCAGTTTTCAACAGTGAAAATGACCTGCTGTCCCAGTTTGATGCCATTCCAGGCAAAAAAGGCACTCGTGTTCTCATTTGGAACATTCGCAGGTATAGTATACCAAGGGTGATTGACTCTAATAAGCAAAGGTAGTATGATGGAAGTAAATTTTAATACATTTCTAGAGAAGCAGATTGGATAACTTTTGATAGATATTTGTAGCTCATTGCATACTTTTTCTTAACTTTCTTACAACCACAGCTGTATGAGATAGTGGTTTTTATTAGTAAAATGTGGAGCTTGGTAAGGCAGAGACATGCATATCCTGAGGCTATTGCCACAAATAATCAAGACAGTTCAATGTTATTCTAAAATATTTAGAATCCAATATAAATATCTATTTTATATTCATGGACACTGTTTTGAGATAGGTAAATGATAGTTATTTAACTTATTTGACAATGAAAATAAAGTATGAAGAACAGACATTAACACGTGTTTCCCTTAAGATCTGGAACAAGACAGGGATGTCTGCTTTCACCATTCCTATTCAACATAGTACTAGAAGTCCTAGTTACAGCAATCAGACAAGAAAAAAAATAAAAGGCATCCAAATTAGAAATGAGGAAATAAAATTGTCATTAATCATAGATGATGTGATATTGTACATAAAAATCCACCAAAAAATGCTAAGTTTAATAAGTGAATTCAGCAATGTAGCAGGATACAAAATTAACATCTGGAAATCAATGGCATTTTTATACACCAATAATGAACTCGCAGAAAGAGAAACTAAAAATGCAATCCCATTTACCATTGCAACAAAATAGTAAGATACCTATGAATAAACTTAACCAAGAAGGTAAAAGACCTGTACTTGGAAAATTATGACACTGAAAAAAGAAATTGAAGAAGATGCAAATAATTGGATGCATATACTGCGTTCATAGATTGGAAGAATTAACATCATTAAAATGTCCATAATACTTAAAGCAATCTATAAATTCAACACAATTCCTGTTAAAATACCAATGGCATATCTAGAACAAATATTACAAAAATATATATGGAACTCAAAAGATCCTGAATAGCCACAGCAATCTTGAGAAAGAACAACAAATTTGGAGGAATCACACTACCTGATATCAAGCTATACTACAAGGCCATAGTAATCAAAACAACATGATACTGGCATAAAAACAGACATATAGATCAATGGAACAGAATACAGAGCCCAGAAATAAACCCACCCCTTTATAGTCAATTAATATTTGACAAAGGAGGGAAAAACATGCAATGGGCTAAAGATAGCCTATTCAATAAATGATGTTGGGAAAATTGGACAGATAAATGCAAAAAAATTAAACTAGACCATCTTCTTACGCCATACACAAGAATAAATTTAAAATGGATAATAGACTTAAATGTAAGTCACGAAACCATAAAAATCCTAAAAGAAAACTTAGGCAGTAAAATCTCGGACATTTCTCAAAGCAATATTTTTTTCTGATAAATCTCCTCAAGCAAGCAAAACAAAAGAAAAAATAAACAAATGGAAATATATCAAACTATAAAGGTTTTGCAAAGCAAAGGAAACCATAGACAAAATAAAAAGACAACCCACTGAATGGGAAACCATATTTGATGATACAGCCCATAGGGGTTAATATGAAAAATTTATAAAGAACTTATAAAACTCAACACTAAAAAAAATAAACAATCCAATTAAAAAATGAGCACAGGACCTGAATAAACACTTCTCCAAAGAGGACACGATGGCCAATACAAATGAAAATATGCTAATCATCAGACAAATGCAAATTAAAACCACAGTGAGATATCACCTCACAACTGTCAGAATAGTTTTTTTTTTTTTTTTTATCCTCACCCGAGGATATTTTTCCATTTTTTGTACAGATAGAATGGGAGGGAGAGAGAGGAAGGGAGAGAGAGTGAGAAACATCGACGTGAAGGGACACATCGAGTGGCTGCCACCCGCACGACCAACCAGGGCCGGGGACAAACTGCAACCGAAGTACGTGCCCTTAGCGGGAACCGAACCCGGGTATCTCCGGACCGCAGGCCGACGCTCTAACCGCTGAGCCAAACTGGCCAGGGTAACAACTGTCAGAATAGTTATCATCAATAAATCAACAAACAGCAAGCGTTGGTGATGATGTGGAAAAGGGAACCCTCTTGTACTGCAGATTGGTGCAGCCACTGTGAAAAGCAGTATGGAGTTACCTCAAAAAATTCAAAATGGAACTGCCTTATGACCCAGTCATTCCACTCCTGTGAATTTATATGAAGAAACCCGAAACACTAATTCAGAGGAATATATTCACCCTTACGTTTATTGCAGCATTATTCACAATAGCTAAGATCTGGAAACAGCCCCAGTGCTCATCAGTAGATGAGTGGGTACATTTACACAATGGAATACTACTTGGCCATAAAAAGGAAGAAAAATTTACCCTTTGTAACAGCATGGATGGACCTAGAGAACATTATGCTAAGTGAAATAAGCCAAAGAGAAAGACAAGTATCATATTATTTCACTCATGTGAAATTTAATTTACACAATGAACTAACAAGCAAAATAGAGACAGACTCGTAGAGAGCAAGCTGACAGCTCTGGTGGGGCAAATGTTGGGGGTGGAGAGATTGAGCAAAATAAAAGACAGAGAAAGAATTCATGGACATGAATAACAATGTGGCGATTTTGGGGAGGAGGAGGGTGAGTGGAAGTAGAAGAGCGTATGGGGGGATGAATGGTGAAGAAAAATAAAATAGATTAAAAATGATAAAAATGGGACTGCCTATGACCCGGTGATTCCACTTCTGGGAATTTATCCAAAGAAACCTGAAATACTAATTCAAAAGAATATATGCACCCTTATGTTCATTGCAACATTATTTACAGTAGCCAAGATTTGGAAGCAGTCCAAGTGTCCATCAGTAGATGAGTGGTTAAAAAAAACCGTGGTACATTTACACAATGGAATACTACTGAAATATTTGGCTGTAAAAAAAAAAAAGGAAATTTTATCCTTTGCAATAGCATGAATGGACCTGAAGAACATTATGCTAAGTGAAATAAGCCAGTTAGAAAAAGACAAATACCACATGATCTCACTTATATGAGGAGTCTAATGAACAAATTGAACTAACAAACAAAACAGAGACAGACTCATAGATAGCAGGCTGACAGCTGTGGTGGGGGATTGGGAAACTGGGTGGGGGGTTGAAGGGATTGAGCAAAAAAGAGAAAAATCTTATGGACACAGCAGGGTGGTGATTGCCCAGGGGTGGGGGGAGGGGGGAAGGTGGAAGAGGGTATGGGGAGATAGATGGAGATGGAAGGAGACTTCATTTGTGGTGGTGAACACACAATACAGTGTACAGATGAAGTGTTGAAGAATTGTGCACCTGAAACCTGTATAATTTTGTTAACCAGTGTCACCACAATAAACTCAGTAAAAAGGAAAAAAAAATAGACATTAGAGTAATAAAGCACAACACAAACTTTAAAAATAAGGACCTCAGTATTAGTGCTTTAAAGTAGCTGAATTAGAAGTAGAAAAACATTTGAAGCCGATAAATTTGAACTATAATGAGGCTGGCTTCAGGTTATGTGTTGAGAGCTAATAAAACAATCTAAAAATACTATAGAATATGTCATTTGTTTAACCTAGTCATGTCAAATGGAATATATTTAACAGTGTCCACTAAAACCTAAAAATCTTAATATAAAATAGAGGTGTTATTTTCATGTTTCATAGAACAGAGTATCATTTATATATATTTTCTCCTTAAGTCAAGTATTTCACCTCATTAAACTTATATAAAAACTGTGTTGCCCTGGCTGGGTAGCTCAATTGGTTAGAGCTTTGTCCCCATACACCAAGGTTGTGGGTTCTATCCCTGGTCAGGGCACATACAAGAAACAACCAATGGATGCATAAATAAGTGGAAACAACAAATTGATGTTTCTGTCTTTCTTCCCCTGCTAAAATCAATGAATAAAAAAGTTTTTAAAACATACTGATTTGTATGGAAAGTATTTTCAACTAAAAGTAAGGGTTTTCACACATTGTTAATTTAGATCTTCCTTTGTCTTACTGTGAAAACCTCAAATAATATTTCTATTATAAAAGATAATTTTCCTGAGGTATTGTCACTGATTTAAACACATTAAGCAGACTTTTTTTCTTTGTACATTGTTTCTCAATTATACAGTAGTAGATGTTATGCAGATAAATGATTCTATGGTCACATAACTTTAGGAAAAGCTGGCTTAAAGTTTACCATACTGTTTTATTGCAGGACTTTTCAGAGGCTTTAATATACTAATGTTATTTCAATATGCATTGAAAACATATAAGAGCAATATAGTATGAGTATAACCCAATTTCAAAAAATGTTTCTCTGAACCTCTTTTTCTTGGATGATGAATGGTGAGGGGCAAGGACAGGGAACCTCCTCAGAGAATGTAAGTGGGGTGGGGTAGAAAGAATCAGAAGTATCCTGGAAAATTCAGAATATACTATTATAGTGACATGGGCTTTATAAAAGCTACATACCATAATGGCTCTGTTCCAGACTTAAAGAAGGAGCTACATTTTTACCCTGGCCGGTTTGGCTCAGCAGTTAGAGTGTCCGCCTGCAGACCAGAGAGTACTGGGTTCCGTTCCCCTAAGGGCACGTACCTCAGTTGTAGTTTGTCCCCAGCCCTGGTTGGGGTCGTGTGGGTGTCAACCAGTCGATGTGTCTCTCTCACATCGATGTTTCTCTCTCTCTCTTCCCCCGTCTCCCTCCTGCTGTATCTGAATTACAAAAAATATCCTCAGGTGAGGATAAAAAAAAAAAAAAGAAAGAAAAAAGAAGGAGCTACATTTTCATCACAGCAGCTCTGAGCTTGCAAAGCCTGAAGTATGAGGGAGGTATCACTAGAGCTTTGCAGTGGCTCTGAGGGCCAGAAATTATTTTCAAATTTATTGGCGCATGCCACCAATCTACCTTTCCTGCCCTCCTCCTCCCTTTCTCCTCCCCTTCCCCTTCCCCTTCGCAGTCCCCTGCTTCCCTCCCCTCCCCTCCCCTCCCCTCCCCTCCCCTCCCCTCCCCTCCCCTCCCCTCCCCTCCCCTCCCCTCCCCTCCCCTCCCCTCCCCTCCCCTCCTTTGTTTGTCTCTCTCTCAGTATTTTGGGGTACTACTGTTGCACAGAACACATTTGGAAAATACTGTTCTTATGTATGTATGTTTTCTCCATAACCCATCAAGGACAAAGATGGGTCTGGGCTTTTTTCCCTGGCATCTGTTAGTGATATAACCCATAGTCTTGGAATGGACTACAGCTAAGTAACTCAAAATGGTTCTGAGAAGAAGAAAGGTCCTTATGAAAGGAATATGGGTACTATTATATTTAAGTGATAATTCCATAAATTATATTCTAGAGAACTAGCAAATATATGCTGGTTCTATAATAACCTTTTTTCCTTCTATGAAATAAGATCTGGAGAAATCTCAATATCTCATTAGTTCTTACACAGTTAATGAAATTAGAAGTAAGTTTTATTCATCTATTCAGTTAGAGAAAATGACATTGTATGACCTACCCAACAATACCTAGAAAGTTGTGATCTATTTTATGAGGTCCTTCTTTGAGGATAACTGACATCCACTTGATTTATAAGATCACATACATACACACCTTCCTTTTTTTCCCTTCTGTACTTGGCATTACCAACTCTATGAAACATAGTAGATTTGTTTAGGCTGCAAATACCCTAAATATTGTGTGTTCTTTAAACTGAGTAGTTTGTAGTTCAGTACTGGTAGTCAGGTAAAGAAATAGGTATCTGAGTTTGGGCTCATATTGTTTCTTTTCTCTTGGGTTCCTAGTGCATTTTTGTCCTTTGGAACCAGTTTTTGTTAGATTGGTACTTGTCTCTTTTACCCAGAAATAAAGATGGAAAGTCTGAGTTGGACTTTGATACAGATCAATATGACATCCTGGTATCAGACTTTGGCACAGAAGAAAAAGAGACTGGTGGTGTTACCTCTGAACTGCCAGAAACAGAGTATTCTTTAAGGGTGAGTAAGAATGGTTTTTCTTCAACAATGAGAGGTAAGATCTCCTGTAACATGAAAATTTATATAACAATATTTCACTTTACTTATATAAAGCTGACAGCCTTTTAGCCCTGTGTTAGGATTCCTTTTCAGTGTTTCAACCAAAAGATTTTAGCAAATAGATTCATCATCACTTTAGTATGGTAGTGATCATAACATGGTATGGAAATAGCAAAATCTTTGCCCAGGATAGAACTCAGTTGCTAGCAGTGATTTAAGGGGATGTCAGTAGAATTGTCAATATCATATAATAACTTTCCCTTCACTGTTCCATAGGCATTTTGTGGTATTCTTTATATGAAGCCAAGAATGAAAATTTTTCTGCGTCAAAAGAAGGTGACTACCCAGATGATTGCCAAGAGCCTGGCCAATGTAGCATATGATATCTATAAACCTACCTTCACAGTATCCTTACAACTACATGAAGTTTATCTCTTCAGTTCAGAATTAAATTTCAAAATTGGCACAGAAAAACAAAAATCTTTCCTTTTCTAATTCAGAAATATATGTCATAATCCAAATCCTATTATAGTATACTCTGTAGTTCTTAAATGTCTATCTATGCACCATTATTTTTTAGAAACCACCTGGAAATTATTAAAATAATACAGAATCCCAAGACTTTGGAGATTCTGGTTTAATAGATTCCAAAATCTCTTTTTTTTTTTTTTTTATCCTCACCCGAGGATATTTTTCCATTTTTTGTACAGATAGAGTGGGAGGGAGAGAGAGGAAGGGAGAGAGAGTGAGAAACATCGACGTGAAGGGACACATCGAGTGGCTGCCACCCGCACGACCAACCAGGGCCGGGGACAAACTGCAACCGAAGTACGTGCCCTTAGCGGGAACCGAACCCGGGTCTCTCCGGACCGCAGGTCGACACTCTAACCGCTGAGCCAAACTGGCCAGGGCCAAAATCTCTTTTTTTAAGTAAGAAATATTATTTATTTTTAAATTCCCAACTAGTTTTAATGAGTAGCCAGATTTGAGACTCTCTCTTTTAAGGTTCACACCATTTGGTTTGTATTGGAGTTTTGTTATGTAGTACATTGAAATAAGCAAAATGTTAACTGAAACTTGTTAATCTTTTGTACATAGCATGATTTTTTGTCATGACAAGACCAGACTTATGTTGATGGAAGTTGAGAGAGTGGAAATTCACGGTTGAGACAAATTCAAGGGGTGAGAAATATTCAGTAGGTTTGACTTAGATTTCCTTTTACTTCTCATAATTGCAACCACTCAGAGAAATACTCATTTTCAGTTCTACCCTTCATTGCACTAGAGTGGATTTCAGACACTTGAGAAAATTTTAAGATTATGGAAGTTAGATTCATCGTTGTTGATGGCTTTTTGGACAAAAAAAGTCTTTGAAAGGTTGAGAACTCATAAGCACTTATGAAGAACTATTCTTGTTATTTATTTTCTAGTAACTAAGTACAGCTCTTGGACTAAGAAACACACTTTTTTATCAAAGTCATTATTTATCTTGCTTTGTCTTTCTTCCCCTGACCAAAAATTAAAAATTGTTGTTCCCTTTTTTAAAAGCTATATAGTTGCTACTCTAAGCAGACTGATTTTCTCTTTTTGGGAAATATGTTGTCTGTTAGGAAAGTTTTTTTAAAGCCCTAAACAAACCCGACTTCACAAAGCCACAGGCAGCACTGTTAGCATCTGTAGGTAAATTAGTTATATCCCTATATGTAGGCTAGGATATCGGTGCTATTGGTTTAACAAAGCCAGAGTAAATAATGGTTTTCCAACTATTTTTTAAAGATATGCCACATTCTTTTTTTAAATTAATTAATTTATTTTTGTTACAGATGTTTCTCCTTTTCCCCCCACTGATTCCCCCCTCCCCACCCTGTCGCCAGCTTTGTTGTCCATGTCCATTGTTCATGCATACAGGCATATAAATCGTGTGGTGTATCTCTCCCCCACCACCTCCTCTTCTGGGGATTGTCAGTCTGTACCCCACTTCCATGTTTCTGGCACTACCCCATTCCTCAGACTGTTATGTTAATTATATTCCACAAATAAGTGAGATCATATGATACTTGTCTTTCTCTGCTTGGCTTGTTTTGCTTAGGATGACACTTTCCAGGTCCCTCCATGTCATCTCAAATGATAAGAGATCTTTCTTTCTTACAGCTGCATAATACTCCATTGTGTATATGTACCACGGTTTTTGATCCATTCGTCTACTGATGGACATTTGGACATTTCCAGATCTTAGCTATTGTAAATAGTGCTGCTACAAACATGGGGGTACATATATTCTTTCCGGTTAGTGGTTCAAGTTTGTTAGGGTATATTACTAGAAGTGGGGTCACAGGGTCAAATGGCAGTCAATTTGTAATTTTTTGAGTAACACCGTATTGTTTTCCATAGTGGCTGCACCAGTCTGCATTCCCACCAACAATGTACTAGAGTCCCCTTTTCTCCACACATTCGCCAACACTTGCTGTTTGATGATTTGTTGATGGCGGTCATTCTGCCAGGTGTGAGGTGATACCTCATTGTTGTTTTAATTTGCATCTCTCTGATGATTAGGGATGTTGCGCATTTCTTCATATGTCTCTTAGCCATTTCTATATTCTGTTTGGAGAGGTGTCTATTTAGTTCCTCTGCCCATTTTTTAATTGGGTTCTTTGTCTTCCTTTTGTTGAGTTGTATGAGCACTCTCTATACATTGGAAATTAACCCCTTATCTGATATATCATTGGCAATTATGCCCTCCCATAGAGTGGGTTGCCTTTCCATTTTGATGATTGTATTGTTTGCTGTGCAGAAGCTTTTTTTTTATTAATTAATTTTTGTTACAGATGTTTCTCCTTTTTCCCCCAGTGATTCCCCCCTCTCCCTCCCTCCCTCCCTGCCCTTTCCCCAGCTTGTTGTCCATGTCCACTGTTCATGCATACATGCATATAAATTCTGTGCTTTATCTCTCCCCCACCACCCCCCTCTTTAGGGGATTGTCGGTCTGTACCCCACTTCCACGTCTCTGGGACTACCCCATTCCTCAGACTGTTATGTTAATTATATTCCACAAATAAGTGAGATCATATGAAACTTGTCTTTCTCTGTTTGGCTTGTTTCACTTAGGATGATATTTTCCAGGTCCCTCCATGTAGTCTCAAAGGATAAGAGATCTTTCTTTCTTACAGCTGTGTAGTACTCCATTGTGTATATGTACCACTGTTTTTTACCCATTCGTCTACTGATGGACACTTGGGCTGTTTCCAGATCTTAGCTATTGTAAATAGTGCTGCTACAAACATGGGGGTACATATATTCTTTCTGATTGGTGTTTCAGGCTTCTTAGGGTATATTCCTAGAAGTGGAATCACTTGGGTCAAATGGAAGTTCAATTTTTAATTTTTTGAGGTAACACCATATTGTTTTCCATAGTGGCTGCACCAGTCTGCAGTCCCACCAGCAGTGTACTAGAGTCCCCTTTTCTCCACACCCTCGCCAACACTTGTTGTTTGATGATTTGTTGATGGCAGCCATTCTGACAGGTTGTGCAGAAGCTTTTGAGTTTGATGTAGCATGTGTTCATTTTCTCCTTTGTTTCTGTTGCCTTAGGTGATGTATCAATGAAAATTCTGCTGCGTATGATGTCTAAAATTTTGTTGTCTACATTTTCTTCTAGGATTTTTATGGATTCCTGAGTCACTTTAAGTCTTTTATCTATTTTTAGTTTATTCTTGTATATAGTGTAAGTTGATGGTGTAGTTTCATTTTTTTTGCATATAGCTGTCCAATTTTCCCAGCACCATTTATTAAAGAGGCTATCTTTACTCCACTGTATGCTCTTGCCACCTTTGTCAAATATTAATTGAGCATATTGTCTTGGGTCCATTTCTGGGTTCTCTGTTCTGTTCCACTGGTCCATATGCCTGTTCTTATGCCAGTACCAGGCTGTTTTGATTACAGTGGCTTTGTAGTATAACCTGAAAACTGGTAATGTGATCCCTCCAACTTTGTTCTTTTTTTTTCAAGATTGCTGTGGCTATTTGAGGTATTTTTTGGTTTCATATGAACTTTTGAAGTATTTGTTCTAGTTCTGTGAAATATGTCGTTGGTATTTTGATGGGGATTACATTGAATCTATAGATTGCGTTGGGTAGTATGGACATTTTAATGATGTTAATTCTTCCAATCCATGAACAAGGTATGTGCTTCCACTTTTTTATATCTTCTTCTATTTCTTTTTCCAATGACTCGTAGTTTTCTACGAATAGGTCCTTTATTTCTTTGGTTAAGTTTATTCCTAGGTATCTTAATTTTTTTTTGCCGCAGTGGTGAATGGGATTGGTTTTTTTAGTTTCTCCTTCTGTGAGTTCATCATTGATGTATAAGAATGCCATAAATTTCTTGACAATAATTTTGTATCCTGCTACTTTGTCAAATTCATTTATTAAGTTTAGTAAATTTTTGATGGGGCTCAATTCCTGCTTGGCTTTTCCTGTAGCTTTTGGGGGATGGGTCTCAGCTGCTGGTCTGTGCTTCTGTTGCCTGGGGATAGATGTCTGCTCCCCAGCTTCTGTTGCTGGGGGTATATCTTTTTTTTTTTATGAATTTCTTATTAATTTTTTTGTTACAGATATTTTACATTTTTTACCCCACTGGCACCCCCCACCCCACCCCACCTCCACCCCGTCCCCGGCTTAGTTGGCCATGTCCATTGGTCATGCATACATGCATATAAGTTCTGTGGTTAATCTCTTCCCACCCCCCCACCCCCCCACCCCCTCTTCTGAGGGATGTCAGTCTGTGCCCTACTTCCATGTTTCTGGGTCTACTGTATTCCTCAGACTGTTATGTTCATTATATTCCGTATATAAGTGAGATCATGTGGTACTTGTCTTTTTCTGCTTGGCTTCTTTCACTTAGGATAATACTTTCCAGGTCCCTCCATGTCGTCTCAAAGGATAAGAGATCTTTCCTTCTTACCGCTGCATAGTACTCCATTGTGTATATGTACCACAGCTTTTTTATCCATTCGTCTACTGATGGACACTTGGGCTGTTTCCAGATCTTAGCTATTGTAAATAGTGCTGCTATGAACATGGGGGTACATATATTCTTCCCGATTTGTGTTTCAGGCTTCTTAGGGTATATTCCCAGCAGTGGGATCACTGGGTCAAATGAAAGTTCAATTTTTAATTTTTTGAGGTAGCACCATATTGTTTTCCATAGCGGCTGCACCAGTCTGCATTCCCACCAGCAGTGTATTAGAGTCCCCTTTTCTCCACACCCTCGCCAACACTTGTTGTTTGATGATTTGTTGATGGCGGCCATTCTGACAGGTGTGAGGTGATACCTCATTGTTGTTTTAATTTGCATCTCTCTGATGATTAGTGATGTTGAGCATTTCTTCATATGTCTTTTGGACATTT